TGGGCTGAAGAACAGCAGGATGACTGGCGGGGTCCTGGCTAGGTAGTGGTAAAATGGAGCAGGCAAAGGGGGAAGCAGCCTCAGGTGGAGGTGTTTGTAAGGGGCCTCTGCAGGATCAGTGACTGGGATTATAAAATTATATAAAATTTCAGAATTGTGGATGACACATATTGGTGCTGTATAAATTATGAGGGGATGACCATTGGACTGTGCAGCCAGATGCCTAGGAAACGTGGCATCCTTTTATTGGTATAGTTCAATACTGCAGTGCCAGGAGTGCACACAGACTCTGGAAAGGCAAGGCACAGAATGCAAGTTATTTAGCATGCAGTTGTGTTGCTGTGCAGAAAAAGTGCAGTCCTGAGGGAGTAGTAAGAGCGTGTACACCAGCACTGTGCTGGTACCAGGAAACTCCAGTATTGGTGAAATACTGAGAGGGTAGAAAAGGAGCACAAGTTCTGCAGAGGTGCCCTGCTGAGAGGCATGGAGACCTCTTAAAGGAATTTTGTGTATTTTTTCTGAAAGATTAACAAATGACAAAAACAAACAAGCAAACAAAAAAAATCTAAACAAACAAAAAACCCCACCAAACCAAAACTGAGTATTAAAGAGCTTCTTAATAGAGTGGAAATAGGCATGACAAGAACCAGAGGCTGGCAAAAGGAAAGCAGCTGAATTAAATGAAGTTGCCTGCATTCATTGAAGTTGCAGCCAAAAGGATGATTAATCATTGGAACAAGTTCTCAAAATAAGGTGTTTTCCCAGGCACTGTCTAGTCAAATGTGACTAACTGGGTTTTGTGAAGAATTAAGAGGGTAAAATGTCTGTGACACGTAGGAGGTCAGCCTAGCAGTTGTAATTCTCCTTTATAACTGTAGCTTGGTGACCTCATGAAAACTTTTATAAAGGTGGCACAATGGATTTTGGCTTCCTGAAACTGTAGAAGGGACATCATCTTGACTCAAACAAGGAAATATCCAGCTTGGCTTTTGGATTTCACTGGGAATAAATCATTAGTATTTATGTAGTTCTTTCTATTAATAAATTTTCACACTTGCAGGAAGGCACTTCTATTCTAAAGCCAGATAAACAAGCATAGAGGTGAGGCACGGCCAAGTGAATCAGCAGCAGGCCTGGAAAAAGATCCAGTGTCTCCTGGATCCTTGGCTGAGGCAGACTTGTTTTCTTGGGAGGACTCAGCTTCTGAAATCCAGCATGTTCTCCAGTCCATGTAATTTCTTAACTCCAAAAGGCCAAACATGACAACAGGAAGGAAGCTTAGAATATCACAAAATGGTGTTCTGATGAAAAGCATGAGGTATACTAAGAAATTTTTATTTTTTTATATATATATGGTATATATTATTTGAGATGTATATATGAAAAATTATGCTCACATTTACCATGTGATTTTTATGTAAATTAAGGCACTTCTGTAAGGCAGGTGTTTCTCTTCATTTAGGAAGTGCTGTGCTCAGCACTGGCAACACTGACCTAAACTCACGTAATGGTTTCTATTCTTGGGAACTCATGGAGATTTTGACAGCACTCCTGTTTATTGATGTCTGAGCACTTAGAGGTCAGGTGAACATGTCAGTCTTCTGTTTCCCATGCCGTCAATCCTGAATGCCGACATTCACTTGAAACGATTCACTTAAATATAAAAGGTTAGTACTTACCCCTCATTTTTGGATTGGGACTTAAATTAAGAAAATTCCTTGGTGACAGCTAAACATAGCTACTTTACAGTATTATGTGATCTTACAACTACAATTCTTTTGCACATAAGGAGCCTGAGTAATGGGTCTTTCTTAGGCTTCAGGTTTTGATTTTATGTTCTTGGCATATATGCTGTTTGTACATAGTACCAGGAAGATAACCACACAGATGCTGAGCAGGCTTCCTTGGGACATGGACAAATCGTGTCAGCCTGCCAAGAAATTCAGATTGCTCATTTTAAACAACAGTGATTAAGATGTATGGAACGGTGAAAATTTGTGTTTGAAGTTCTTTGTATGAGGGGTTTTAATTTTTTTTTTTTTAATGATTGATTTGGAGGCCTCCTATATTGGCTAATGCTGAACAAGTGGCTGCAGGGTCTGAATGGAGTCAGCCCCAGTCTTTCTTATGTCCTTCACCCCACCTAAGACTCCACAGTATGCCAGCCAGCAACAGTGGGATCATTTACTACGAGCTGAACCAAGCCTTTTGATTTATTTCACGTAATATCACATGGCCACCTTCACACCAGCACCGTGGCAGTAGAGGGTAGCTGAGATTAATTTGTGAGCTACAGCACTTGTGTGGGAAATTGAGCCCCTGGAAAGTGCTGTTTGTTTTGGCCAACCCAGATTTAGCACTTTGCTTTGTGCCAAGGTGCCTTATGGACGCCTTTTTGCTATTTCTGGAAGAATTGTTTAGAAACGCATAAAAGAGTTGTCGTAGATAGAAGTGTTTATGAAATAAGGGGTGAGGGTTTTTTTTTTTTTCAAAAGTGACTTGTAATTTGGATGCCGGCGCTGTGAAGCATATTGCCAGTCAGACAGGTGCCCATTATAGCACACTGGCGAGGGCTCATTGCATTTTATAAAGCAGATCCTTCGGTGATACAGAAAGTAAGGCATCCGAAACTACTGTCTGCTGTAGCAAATGCTGCCTTCTTGGTGTAACAGCTGCCCTAGTGCTGGGTAGGGCTGGTTCATTCCCCTGACACTCACCGAGGACGCTTACTTGGGCATGAGCAGGAGCTGCAAAACACATCCAGCAGATGCCAGTGCCGTGGAGCTCATTTGGGAGTCCATTTTCTGTCTTTCTGAGGTCAGATGAGTGCTGCCTCTGTCACTTCTGGCTGCTGACAGCTCCTTTCTCTCTGGGAAGAGGTCATCCCTGTCCTGCCCAGTTTGACCTGTTGAACAGAGATCTATACCCTGTGCAGTTTGTTGCCTGGTGAAAAATTGAATTCCTTAAATTCCCCAGATTAATTTCCTTTGGAATACAGTGTGGCTTAAACACTTGGCTCAGGGAACAGCAGTGGTGGTGATTCATGGTGACCCACCGTGCCTTAACCCATAGGTTGTTTCGCCCAGGAATCCTACCTTAAATTAGTGCATAGGGAAAAAGTGATTACAGAAAGGCCCTTTTTCTGTTGTTATCTGTGACAGGTCTGGGGGGGGGGTGTTCTATGAAAGAGTTGTTGTGCAATGGCTTTGTAATTGCTGGGAAGAAGTAGTTTAGCGTGTAAATGAATTTCAGCAGCAGAAAAAATGAGTGACTGACTTCTACAAAGGGAGGTTTAAACTTTATCGTTAAGAGACGATTAAACTCTGCCTGCATTAAAATAAACACTCCACAGATCTGGAAGCAGAAGAGACTGAGGTCATGTCTGCTGAGCACTTGGTCAAGCTTATCCTGGTGTTCGTTAGAGCTGGAGTTTTACCTTGCAATTACTCAGTCCTGCCTTTCACCCGGTTCTCTTGCTGCATCTTTCCCTCGGAGACAGGATGTCTTTTGTTTCACAGGGTATTTCTGGAATCTTGCAAATGTGATGTTTCTGTGCTTTTAGGCACGAAAGTGCAAATATCACCTGTGTTTATTTGAAGATGAATTTAGATTAGGTTATTTCCCTCAGCTGCTCGTGTCTTAGTTTCTTACAGTAACTCTCATTAGTTTGTGTGATTATATTGCCAATAGAAGAATTCTTGGTTAGGAGCTTTAGAAGAAACAAAAACAAAACAAGGGAATGATGATGCGTCAGTCTATAGACATTTTTAGAAGGTATTTGTAAGTTAAAAAAAGAATGATAGAAAACAGTGCATTCAGCTTGCATGGTATCTGATGGTAGTATCAGTCCTGAATATTGTACTGTTTCACTGTTCTTCACTATATTTCTGTCTTGTAGCTTTATCCTTCCCAGAGGAGTTGAAGTAAATGCACAGTTACTGTAGGGCTTACTCTTATTTTGAGTTACTATAGGGCTTAATCTTCCTCCATTTGATTTTATTCGTATATTCTGACTTCTATGACAATCTGTTTTGTAACAGATCGTCTCTACCCTTCTTTCTCTGCCCTGACCAAAGCAAAAAAAGGTTTATGAATTGCTTTGTTTACAGGTGTGTCAACAGGTCACAGTATTCTAGATATTTCTTAAATATCTGTTAAAGTATGTTGCTGTGTTAACAAACAAAGAGAAACAAATGCTTTTCCAGGTGTTCTGTCAAGACAGTGCATAGTTTTGATATCTGTTAAGTGTTCTACTTGTCACCCTATTCTGTATTACCAGTTCAGACATTAAAGCATGCTGCAGAATTTTGTTTAAAGTGTCAAACTACTGTTCAACTCTGTGTACTGCATCAAGTTTCATATTTATCTCAGTTGCTTCAGTTTGTTAGCATTGGTAGACTTGTTTCTGCTTTCTGAGATTATTTGGGATTTTTTATTTGCTTGTTTCTAGTACAGCTGAAAATCTCACATGTGGTTGAGTCCAGTCAGTACTGTTACTGTGAAACCTTTAGAAGAGGGGTTACCAAAATGTCCTCTCTGAGGCATTAATTAGTGGACTTTGTCTTCCCAAAGACTTCCACTCCAGTGGGGAACAAGCAACAGCCACCTGCTAGATGATGTTGAGCATTAGTCTAGTGACATGTTTGGTTCCGAGGGACTGCATCAAGAGAAATACGTATATGTGTTTATCCATGACTTTAGTTTCATTTTTGCTAAAACATACCTGTTATAAGGAATAAGTGAAGCTGCTGTCCAACAGGGAGATTCCCCTGCACAGACCTGCCTTTCCCACCCATTCTCCTTCACATCACTCCTGTCCCCCCAGCTTCAGTTCCACGCAGAGCCTTCCACAAGTGCCCACCTTGCATGGACAGCAAAATCTCATCCTGGAGGAAATATGCAGCAGGAAGCTATGCAACAAGCAGCTTCTGGTGCCAATTTTATGTTTAGATATAGGTACTTTAAGTAATGTTTTTCAAGGAGATGTGATATTTTCTTAGCAGGTTGAAGTTGAAGTTTACCGGAGAGATTCTAAGAAGCTTCCTGGCCTGGGAGACCCTGACATTGACTGGGAAGAGAGTGTCTACTTGAACCTCATCCTACAGAAGGTAACAGTGAAACTTATCTAATTTTCATGGGCTATTTATGCTAGAAAGGTTTCAGGGTAGGCTTTGATCTGTCACCTTTCCTCCCTAGCTTGGAGAATTTGGACACTTCTGGAGGATATAAAGAAAACATGGCTTTAATTTTGCCTTTCTGAGTCTAAATGAGCATAAACCAAGATGTTTATTATTTTTCAGTAGAGTCCTAACAGCTTTTCTCGAAAAACTTTAAATATATCCAGTGAAGCTGAGCTGAATTTTATGCTCTGTATCAAAGCTTTGCAAAATGGAAGGATTTGTCAAGTTTAATGGTTTTTGAGAGTGAACAAGACTGTTAGACAAGCAACATTTCCCTTAGAGTTCACATTACTGGTGCAGCTAAGAGAGGGAACTGCTAGATGGAAATGCAGTAAAGGTGTTATGTATTACACTGGGAGCTGGCTGTTCTTGACATAAGAACTTTAATAAAACTTTTTTGTTGGTGGTGGTGGAACCATGAAGCTAGCACAAATTATTTCTTTAATTAACTCATAGCTTGTTTAGTTATTGCATATGTTACACTGGTGCGTAGGGAAGCTGAACATTACCGCAGTCATTTGGGATCGCTTGAAAGTTTTGTTGATTATGATCTCCGACTGAGAGACTGCTGGCTCATGGTACACGTGCTGGAAAATAAATTGTTTTCATTCTCTCTCCTTCCTCCCAAAAGTCTCGTTGTAGAACTTCTCTGCAGAGAGCAGTTGCTGCCTTTATTTGGTGCTGAATAAAACCAGAATCCGTTTGCTACGGTCAGAATTCAGAGATGCTGTTACAGCTGGGCGTTGCTGTCCAGAGCTATCACACTTGCTCCTTTACAAGTTTTTTCAGATTGTTTGGCAGGCCACGTTATTGGGTTCGGGCCTCTCTAATGTGTTGCTTGTGTTCATTAGTCTGTTTCTCCCTTTTCGAAGGGAGGATATCTTTTCCATTTCTACCTTAAAGTATGCTTATGTGTGTGTCATGATTATTCCCCCGGCTGACCAGTAAGCTAGGGTTAAACAATATTGACAGGAGTTTCTTTACCCATAGGCTGTGTGCAAATCCATAGGTTGTCAGCAAGCATCTGTGCAAAAGTTTCAGTATCACTGAATTAATGAATAAACACAGGCTTGAAAATTGTAGGAGTTTCAGTATAGTAAAGAGAATAAAAACAACAGCAATACCAAAACATCTTACTTTTTAGCTAGAGAGCTAGAAAAAAATTATGACAGAATGTGTTCTGCTTCATGCACGGGAACATGTGGGGTTTTTTCTAACTCCAAACCTTTGTTTCTCTACCTGGTGCCCTGTTTTAGCTGGATTATGTGGTGACATGTGCTGTGTGTACACGCTCCGATGGAGGAGATATTCACATTCACAAAAAGAAATCTCAGGTGAGATTGCCCTGTTATTACTGTGGATAAGAGGTTGGCATCCAGTATTACTTAATCCTAAAACCAGTATAAAACCAGGGCAGCGGTTCTCAGGCTGTGCTGTGACAGATGCATCCTTGTGAAACATCTCAAGTCTTTATCTGGTGATATTTCCTTCCAGTCGTCTAAATGTCCTTTATAGCCCCTTTCAAAAAATTGTGAGGACCTCTGCATGCTTTCAAGATGTATGTCTTTGCCTACTGGATGGGGAAGGGGGTGTGTGCTGGGAGGGAGTATGCCCAGCTGTTAAACACTCCGAAGGTAAACCTGGAATTGTATGAGACCCGAGTTATGAGATGCCTTCAGGGTAAATCTGTAATGTAGGGCTATTAAATGGTAGATAATTTTCTGATTACCAATTGATCTTTTTATTGTTTTGTGAGATTCTTGTTTTCTCTCTTCAACTGCTCATTCATTCTATCTCCACACCGAAGGCTTTTATCACTTGCTTGTGTGCAGCATACAGTTAATCCAGGGTTTAGCATAGTGGAGGAGGCTGAATAATAAGCATGGAGGGGATAGGAACAAGAAACTCCAGACTTCTTCACTCAGTTTCTAGCAGATCTTGCAACAACTTCTCCTAGTTGGCAGAAATTCTTCTTTAAAAGGCTCCTGTTGCCTTTAAAAGGCTGTTTCTCCCAGGCATTTCCATTCCTTTTAGCTCATTCAGCTGCTTGCTTGGCTTTACCTAAAATAAACCAATTCTCTTTAATCCTTTAATTTTGTTTTAAAAGAATTGTTGTTTTGCCTACAAACAAAACTAGCAACACTGACTGTTGCATTTGTAACTTGCATTAGTTAGGCATGTAATTCCCTTCTTCTGGTGCTGTTGCGACACCACATTACACCACTGATGTAAGCCTTTTCTTTCTCATTGCTTTTTCCACTGTTCACTAGTCCAAATTTCACCCTGAGTTAACTTCTGCAAAATTCTTTTGAGAAAAATCTGTAAATATTGCATACAAATTTGGAAACTAGGAAGATGAGGATGAGAGGCCTGTCCTCACTCCGTGTGAGCAGTGCTCAGAATAAGGAGGAGGTTTTCTCTTCCTCATTCCTAGAGGCTCGTACTGGGGGACTGCTTGTAAATTTTTCTTTGTCCCCTCTTTTCTAGGAGAAACTCAGCACACATTAAAACTTAACTGGTACATACTAGGACATTTCAACATCGAGAACTTGATCTACAGAGAGAGAAAAGGCAATTCTATATACTGTGGAAAGCATATTTGCAGTAGGGCATTTCATTGTAACATGCAGCATTGAGGCTCTTAGTTTTAAATGAACAAAAGCCAACTTTTTCTATCTATATTCCTGTTCTGATGGTTCTTGCTTTAGAAAGCCTATATTATCCTGTCAGTGTGTAGCCAGATGTTGAATAGGTAGAAGCCCTAATCAGGCATAGGACTTGCTTTGCTACCTTAGACCTATGACAAAGCTACTGTGCTGATACCAGTAGAGTACCTAAGGCACAAAACCAGTGTTAAAAAAGGCTGACTTTCCCCTAAATTGTTTTGCAGACTACATTGATTCTCTGCTCGCTTGACAATAACATCTCTACAAACTCTATTTTCCTCAGGTGTGTCTGACTGGAGATGAGTTTGGGTTTTTTTTTGCTTTACATTGGATGGCATGAGAATAAGGATGCTTGGAAGATGTCCTTGTTTCAGGTGTTGGTGCAAGTGTCATCTTTGAGGAGTCTCTTTACTTTCTAATGCTGTTTCTTGTTGTGAAGCAACCTTTCTTTTTAATAATCTGTATTTAAATGTGCATGTGGGCTTCATAAGTACAAATAAGGAAAAGCAACCCTCTCATGAATATCTAATATCCTACCCTTAGTCATGTTTTGTGTTGAATGGTTTGTAGCAAGATTATCACAAGCCTGACAATCTGAGCAGGTTCAGAGCTTTCAACACATTCACAGTGGGCTAAGATTTGACAGGTTTCTTTAATTCAACACTTTCTTTGTAGACAGAGGTGGAAGCAAAGCAAGCTACTTGGTATGAATTCTTCTCCCTCTTTACCTGCTTGTTGATCTTGCTGGAGTGATGAAATCTAAAGTCTTTAGCTATTTAAACATAGGTTGTTTTGAGGAGTGAAGTAACCAAAGAAGTTCAGGAACTGCTTCAGAGGGAGGAACGTGCAAGAGAAAGCACAGTGAATAGAGAAAGAAACAGAAGCAGAAGATGAGAAATCAAGTGCTTGTCCTCCTGAGGGCCGTGCTTCCCATTACTGAGTGATGTTGATCTTATTGTGGTACTAAGCAAACAATAACAATGAAATTAACTCTACAAGCAAATAGCAGTAGGTCAGCTGCTCCACGGTAACTTTCTTGCTGTGTGTGCTTTTACTTTGCAGTGCACTGCAGTAACTTAAAGGCAGCTCAAGGTGGTTTTCTTTGTTAATGAAAAGGAGGATACCTTAGCTGTACCGTAGGATGGTGAGGGGTCAGGTACACACAGGGCCATTTACTGTGGAGCAGCTAGTATTTGATAACTTGCATGTGAAAACTCAAGGATTTCACAAGCGTTGTAACTATTGCAAAACAGTCTGTAGTCAGAAAACAGCTCAGCTTTGCCTGCAGGATGTCCAGCATCTCTAGAGTAAGTGAAGATATTGGCTGACTGCACAGTGTTGGACTGTGGTGTTTTGGTATTGCTTGCCTTGTATTTGCTGCGTCCATTCCTGAGCACATTTAACTGAGAAGATGTACTTTTTTTCCCATATCTTTCTCAGCAAGTGTTTGCATCTCCTAGCAAACACCCAATGGACAGTAAAGGAGAGGAGTCAAAGATCAGCTACCCCAACATATTCTTCATGATTGACAGTTTTGAAGAGGTGAGTTCCTTGTTACAGCAGCGGCAGTTTTGTCCTATTTCTTGTACCTTTAGAACAGATATTCTTGGCTAATTGAGGGTTATCTTCCAGCAGCTTTGTTTTATTTTATTTAAACTTCCTCTTTCTTTACTGTTTGAAATCTGAGCTTAAAGCTGGAGTTTGGCATCTGTCTTTATGATGGGCTAAAGCAAGACTGGGTGATGTGAGAGCTCTTTATCTCAACACATGATGTGCAGTGTGCACTGCCTGAATCTGGTTTTTTGAAAGTCTGGGGTGGAGCATACAGCTCCCTTGCTCTCTGCCATTTACATTGAAACTGCCTTGGGCCTAAGGAGAATCACGGGAATATGAATGTATTTGAACTTTAACAGTTGCCGTTTGCCTTGAAGTGTTTCAACTTGCGTCTTTGGCAGGTTTTCAGTGACATGACTGTGGGAGAAGGAGAAATGGTCTGTGTGGAGCTGGTGGCCAGTGACAAAAGCAACACCTTCCAAGGGGTGATTTTTCAGGGGTCTATCCGCTATGAAGCACTCAAGAAGGTCTATGACAACAGGGTAAGGTGCTTCTGAAAGACAAAATCCTTTGCAACAGCTATAGTCTGACAACAGTTTTTCTCTGCGGCTGAGGCTGTTAGCTTTTTGTTATATTATCTGCGTTGTAGTCTGTCTTTTTTGGCTTAGAAAGTTACCTGAAAGCTAATGCTTTTGGTTCAGACAGCTGAGAGTGTTCGGATCAGGATATATATTACTCTGGTGTTTGCCAAAAGGAGTGAATTTGTTAAGTAGTTGAGAGCGTGACACAGGAATGGATCTGAATAACAGTTCTGGGAGCCCCTTCATTTTCTTGAAAGGTCATAGATATTTCTAGCTACTTCTGAGAAGGCATGTTTTGCAGGGAGATCTTAAACTCTGATAACTACCTGGCTATATGCAAAGCTTGTTTGTTCTTTAGTGTGTTTTGTACTCACGGCCACAGAAAGAAGCTTTCTTTACTTTCCTACAGCAATGTGAAATGTCAGCACTTTCAGCTTCAGATTCAGTACTTAGTGCTGAAGTCAAGATGAGTCCAAGAGCCAATGAACTTCTCAAACAGTTTGTTATGAAGACAGTCCTGAGAGTTTTTAAAAAACGAACAAACAAAAATCCCCACCATGTCTATTGTGACTGTAAACTTCATTTCCCTTTGTTCCTACCCTTGTCAGGAGAGGCCTTGAATAATTTCTGTTCTCCCTGTTTTAAATGTGAATGGTTACACTCTTCTAGCAGTTTTTTGAGAGAAAATGAAACTGAAATTGTTTCTCCCTCCCACCATCATCTCACGGCCTCACACAATCAGCAAGTGGGTTATTAGAATACATGGGAATGCAGAATCACTAAAGATGACATAAGAAGAAAGCCCTGCAGTGGAAAGACAAGATTTGATGTGGTAAAGTCACCTCACAGCCTAGGAATGTCCTGTTTGACCATACAATTACTTTACATTGTTCTGTTAGATGAAATAAAATTGTTAGCTCTTCAAATGTTCAATTATGGCTGAAGGCAAAACTTGAAAGTTGATCATTCTTGTAACAGGACAGAAGCAATCTCTCTGTGCTTTTGAAAGTTACTTGATTTCAGTTGTGTCTGTATTAATTCTTAGTACAATACGAGTTGTGTTACATGATGAACGTCTTGGCCCTTTTGGGTGATAAACTGCTGAAAGCTGTGATAAACCACTTAAACTTGTGCATAAGTCCTACTTATTTCACGTGGCAAAACCTTGACTGTTTTCATATTGGTCTGTTCCTTTTTTCAGTTCTCAGTTCAGTTTTCAGTTCAGTTGTGTTAACTGGAAATTGAGCCCTTCTGTCTGTTGAGGGGGTTCAAAAGCTGTCAGGGTTTTGCGATGAGCAATGCGATTGCAGGTTAGTTGTGCATGGGGGCTGGTTCTTTATGCTTTGGCCTTGACAGTGTGGACACACAAATGTCGGAATTGACTTGCCACAAAGTAGTGCCAGAATTGTGCAGTGCGCTTTGCTAGTTTGAAGCATCTCCGTTGCTTTTTGCAGTCAAACAAGTGTCCCTGCACAGGCTGTGTTGAGTTTGCACGTGCCTGCTTATGCTCTGCTGTGCCACGTTGTGTGGGTCTGGATAAAAACCTTTTGGTTTATCTCAGCGTACCATTGGGTAACTCTGCTTTTTGGATAGCTGAAGGAGTTGATTCTTCTCTGAGCTTCTGGTTTTGTATCTGTAAAGTTGCTTCCCTTTTGGAGATCACTTGAGATTGTGGCTTAAAATGCTTCTTAAGAATCAAGATTATGATCACCATCCACTGTGTTTTTGACTTATTCTTAGGTAATTGCTTTCAGAGAACGGTGGTTTTTTGAAACATGGAGATGATATTACATGGTTTTCTCTCATGTCTTGATGCATTGTAGGTGAGTGTGGCAGCTAAGATGGCTCAAAGAATGTCTTTTGGCTTTTATAAATACAACAACATGGAGTTTGTCCGAATGAAAGGGCCACAAGGGAAAGGACATGCGGAGATGGCAGTGAGTAGAGTTTCTACTGGTGACACTTCACCATATGGGACAGAAGAAGATTCAAATCCAGACTCTCCAGTGCATGAGAGAGTAAGTAGCAGACAGAAACACTGACTTAAGGTTAAGCATGGACATGTTTTCTTCCAAAGCCAGCAGATGGACTGAAGCTGGGATCAACTCATACCCAGGTTCTGAACTTAGGTTTGCCTGTGTATATTTTGAACATACTCAATATCTGTAGATGACTTTTTAGCACAGTTTCCCTTGAGCAAATGCTGAATACAGAGATGACTGGGTGATTCATACTCCTGGAGGACTGTTTTGTTGAAACAACAGCAATGTTGATGCCAGGGAGGATGATGATTTCTGCCTGTTTTCTACGAAAATTAATAGATTCCATTTCTGTACAAGGTGCGATTTACCTAAAAACGTGGAATTTATATATTATGTCGGTTGCTTGCTAAACCTCACAGGAAATGGTACTGCCAGGAGATTTTGCCACTGATGAATACTGCTAATATGTAGCCTGTGTAATATTAAAGCAAAGGTTACAGATCTGATCCAGTACCATATTTGTGCATATGCTTAATTTTAATGCAAGGGCAGTAAAATACCAATAGAATCAGTCCATAGGTGCTGATTTGGCCTTTATTCAGTTCTGAGCCTTGTTTTCCATTAAGACATTTTACCTACTTAATGGGGGTTAGGCAATGTCTTCAAAATACCTGCACAGATGTGTTCTGATCTGGGCTGGGTAGTTCCTAATGGATTCTAATGTGGTTTCGTGTTTAACGTGGCTAACCCGTGTAGTTTAAAGGTCTGCAGGACTGCTTCTAAATGTCTGCATGCAAGTTCTGTGATTTTGTTTCTGGCTTCCTAAAAGGCAAAATGAGCTACCAGCACAGAGCTCGTTAACTGGATGTGCTTATTCTCTACCATAGAGATACAGCCTGGAGAAATCAGGCCTGGAGGGGCTTCCTGAACTTTTGGCTCCAAGACTTCTAGTGTCAACTGGAAAATGTCAAAAATAGATTTGACATTGTATTATCATTGCTTTTTGCTAATGGTTTTAACGATGATTTGTCTGTTTCTGGTTTTCCGTCCAGGTGTGATATGAAATGGCTACAGAATTAAAGATAGAGACAAGCACAAACTAGAGATCAAGTGCACTAAAGAGGGGATCAGTTGGGTGGTAGAATGCTTCTACTTTATTTTTTTTATAACATTAATGATAGAGAGACACCATAGAGTGTTTCTTCAGTGCAACACCAACCTAGCTTAGCTGTCATCCTCACTCACATGTCACTTCCCTCCTTATTTGTATGGACAGAAATATGCAATATCAGGTGTCATCTCAGGGAGAGTTATGGGATCAATGAATTAACTATGTGAAGAAGGAAGGGTGAGATAAAATTTACTCACATCCATTAGCAAAGTAGTTATCCCTGGGTTTTTTTATTTTAAATGAAACTATCAAAATATTACTAGCAAAACCAGTACATAAGCACTGCGTTTCAATTCTTTCTGAAATAGGTATGGTTGACTGTAATTGTGGTTTACTTGAGAGCAACTACTACTCTGAAGGAAGGGTGTCTATAGTTTCATTCCCTAACCTGTGTTTCATCATAGACAATTATATCCTTGTTTTTGTCGTCACTTAGACTAACCAAATCATCAGGGGTACCTCAACTTGTTTTTCTCCATCCTGTATTGAAATATAATAGACACATAATTGTAATTTTGCATCGGCATCTTGGGCTAAGTAATTGCCTTGTGACCCTGCTTCACAGAGACCCTGTGACCTTTCACAGTGATCCCGTGTGGCATCCATCTAAGCAGGGAAACTACTACCTTGCGTTTGCCAAAGAAATGAAGATGCACAATTTTAGTGTGTCCAGTACAATACATTCTTAGCCTACTACATCTTCTGAATTTCAGCATGCAAAAATAAGATTGACATTCTTGGTGCCTGAACTATTCATTTTGTTCCTTTATGACTATAAATCCTTGTTAAAGTAATCAGCTGAGGAGGGAGGTTTTTCATTATTCGCTTTATGGTTGAGGGTGATGATGTATCAAAATATTTTCATCTTGTTGAGCACCTTGAAACTGAGATGACTGTTCAGTTGACATTCTCTGGCCATTCTGATAAAACTTACAGCTAGACCCCGGTCATGATTTTTGTGCCTTTTACACATCTGACTGCCTCATGGCACACATTTGAGACTGATTATTGCTCACTAGAAGCATAGAACTTTTTAAACAAAACTTCCTCTAGCGTTTCTTCTGTTTCCCTTTCAGGTCACATCTTTCAGCACACCGCCAACCCCAGAACGCAACAATCGCCCATCCTTTTTCTCCCCATCCCTCAAGAGAAAAGTGCCACGAAATCGAATTGCTGAGATGAAAAAATCCCACTCAGCAAATGACAGTGAGGAGTTCTTCAGAGATGATGATGGCGGAGGTGAGAGAAGTAATATCAGCTAAACAGACTTGTCTGGAGAGAGCACAGAGCTATGGAAAGGGATCTCAATGCTGTTTCCCACAAGGTTTGCAGTGTGAAAGATGTAGCTCCACAGAAAGTCCAATGCCAGTGCCACTCGGAAAATAGGGTTATGCACAGGCTTAGTATCTTTTTGAAGGCTGGAGACCAACAATTCCTGCATATGTTTAAAACTTATCTCCCCCTTTTATATAGACATTTGAGAGAAACTTGAGCAGGAAGTTTCCCAGCTACCACACTCTCCGGTGGCACATGCTCTCATGAACAAGTTCTCTGAATTCCGTGATTTGATACAGAGGTGGCTTAAATTGGTGAAAAGACATTTACTTCAACTGGCTTTGGATCAGTTCTGAAAACTCTCTAAAAAGAAAACCTAGTGAATATGTTTGTATAGTGCTTTAACGCCTTGTGGAACTCCTCCTTTGAATTCTAGTTACTCAGTATGAAACAAGCAACAAGATAAAAAATTGAGTCTGATTCAGAATAGAGTGTATAAATCAAATCATATTGCAATTTTGTTAGGCGGGAAACTCACAAATGTCAAAATCCAAACTTCTTTTAATATGTTTAAAAATAATTCAGTAGAAGAGCCAAAAAATCTAATTATCTGTTGGCATGCTAGTAGGTAAACACAAAGGTAATTTCCGGATCGCAAGTTCTGTTTGTATAGCAAGGGTATTACCCATCAGCAGTACCTGACCAGCTTAGCTAAGAAAGAATTGCACATTAAAAAGCAAGCTTAAGTCATAATGTTTAATTCAAATTCTGTGCAACTTAAACTGTTTGTGACTAATTCAGGGTTCTGTCAATAGAAACATTTGTCATCTCATTTTCCTTAATTTGCCCAATCAAAATGTCCGTTATTTCAAATGATACGTGTTTTTTAGCATGTTTTACTAGGCAAAGGGTAGGGCTTGGGTCAATTACTACGTAGTGTGGGGAGAAGGGCAGCTTTCCCAGATGGAGTCCTGCTTTTGGTGTCTTTCTGCTGGAGTTTGCACAGGATAGAATGGGGTTCAAGGCATTTGTCAGGCAGCCCTTATAGGTGGTAGTAGTGTCTGCTCAGTATTGTTTTGCAGGGTCTGATCCTAGCAGACTTAATCGTAATGATGAATATTCTTATTATCTTAATTTTCTTTTTTCTTCTAATATATTTACGGAAGGAAACAAATTCCAGGTTTTCCAGACGTTTTGTAGCACGCATATAAAATACCAAGAAGTGTCGTTTCACTTAGTTATAAATGTTTTAACCTTATTGTTCCTGGTCCTAAAAATACACAGAGGAATATTTTAACGACTTGTGCTAGGAAGTTTAATTTATTCAGAGATGAAATTTCTACAAAGAGAAGTAACTCAGTGAGATTTCTTTACTAATTTCAGAAATCTGAGTGTCCTACCAGTGTTTGCTCAGGAGCTGAGGTGGTGAAATTCTTGTTTCAGAGTGGGAAGACTGACTTCAGTTCATCCAGCAATGAGGGTTTTGTAGAAGCAGAGATATTCTGGGACATCTTGGCCTCGTGGGTGGAGAATAACTTGCTTGTCTAAAGATCAGCAGTGCCCTTGCTCTGCCCAGTGCTGCCACAGACCTGCCCCCAACACAGACAGATCTGTTGTGGCCTGCAAGGGCCCACTTCACTTGCTTTTGCTGTGCACAAGCATGACACAGCAGAAGAATTGTACTTATTCCATCTGCTGGAGTCAGGTCCTTCTGACCTGAGCACCACAGTGCTCTTGACATAGTCATAATGTGTGGGGAGAGGGAATAGACTGCTTAGCTCTACACATTTTTAGGGAAGGAGGAAAAACAAGATACAGATTTTTTTTTTATTTTTTTTTTTACTCCCTTGTTGTTATGCATCTTGCTAGAATAGCTGCCACTACATATTTTTCCTTTGCTCGGACCTCTTTGTTTGGATCAGGACCCACTTTTAAACAAATGAGTCCCAGAGCCTGGATCGCTTTGGATCAGAATTGTTGTGTTCACTTCAACATCTGCTTATAGCACTGTGGGACAGGGCTGTGTTTTGCAGGCGAATGGAAGGAAGGTTTAGAAACACTCAAAAACGGCGGCATATGCAGTCCTAGTTGTGGGAGAGACCTGCAGCTCTAAAAACCCACCTCTAGCTTACAGTGGATTCAGTATCCTTTTGTTTTAAAAGTTTTTTCTGGACCTCTAGACTAATTGTGAGAAGAATGGCACTGCTGAAGGGTCCCAGGTTTGGCTTGGGGAATGCATGGAGATCTGCAGTGAACTGTCATATTAATGCTCCTCCTGCCTGGTAGATGTCAATTTTCTTCTTAAGAAACAGTTTTTCTTCTGTTACAGTTTTGAATTTCTGCATGAGTAGCTACTTTAGGGATATTTTATTATTTTGTGTATAAGGGAAAGCTGGGTTAGAATTCTGCTTGTGCAGTGAGGTAGCAAAGGCTTCATTCCCTCTCCTGGCTGGTCTGTTAGCAGGCGATTGTTTACTACTGCTGCCAGCTGCTGATATCATTCCTTAGCTTCAATGTAAATGGTGAATTCTGTGCTAGGCAAGATCTGACTGATGAAAAAAAAATAAAAATGGTAATAATAGTGTCCTGCATGTGACTTATCTCTAGACAATGAACAGTAGGGTTTCCTTTTATTTTGACTTCAGAAGCGTTCCGATAAAACACAGAAAGTACAATCACTTTAAGCTTGCTGTCTTCTACCTTCACAGATCTGCACAATGCGACAAATCTAAGGTCGCGGTCCTTATCTGGAACAGGACGCTCTCTGGTGGGCTCGTGGCTGAAGCTGAACAGGACAGATGAAAACTTTCTACTCTATGCACACTTAACTTACATCACTTTACCATTGCATCGAATTTTAACAGGTGAATTTTAATGTCTATTACACATAAACGGAGAGTCCTTTGATTCCCAGACAGCTTTCTGTTTTGGGGATTTTGCTATTAAGACAGAGGAACCAAGTATTTCTCTGTAAGGGAACATCACTTTGTAGACCTCATTTGCTGACTGCAGCAGCATATCAGTATGAACAAGTGGAATGGTGTCAACCTGTTCTCTGGCTTTGGGCCATTTTTGCTTGGTGATGGTTCAAACAAGTTGGTAGTTTGTACTAACAAATGTCCGGAGGAAGGCTAGTTGCCTTAATACTGGAATATAAAGTTCATCCATCTCATGAGTGCAAGGCAACTCATTGTAAGCCCATCCACTGACAGCAATAGTTGTAGCAGAGACCTGGTGTGGGAGGGTTACAGAAAGGCAGCTCTGGAATTTGGAGTGACCTCCTTTGCCAATTTTGACTCTTAGATTTGGTTTCCATAGAAGTTGCTCGGACTGATCAGAGTGTCCACACTGATGCCCATAAATCTGTCAGGTGCCCAATGTCTATAACTAGACGTAATGACATTTGTGTGTCATACCATGAAAAATCAGTCCCCCATGTCGCTGATCGAGCTGTGCCAATCGCTGCATTGATGATGGCCAGCTCTACATTTGGTCAGCTGGGCTAGGGTAGCACAGTAAGACTGATCGAGCTGTGCCAGTCGCTGCATTGATGATGGCCAACTCTACGTTTGGTCAGCTGGGCTAGGGTAGCACAGTAAGCTGGGGTTTACAATCTGCAGGCAGTAATGAATTTTTGAGTTTCATCCAGGTTAAGTCTTGTCTGCCTACAAATACAGGTGGTCTAGAGAAAACAACAGGTGTGTTTGAACTCTATCCATCAGCAAGGCTGATAGCCTTTCAGGGGTACAGCTTGCAGTATGAGGGTGCCCATGGGACTCTTGAGATACTTCTGAAAACCGAGAAAGCAGCGGTGGTTAAGGGCTGTCTCCTCTGTCTAAATGTAGTAGCAATTTCTTTCTTATAGCTGTTACTAGCATTTACTACTGAAAACACACATTGACCATCTCAGGCAGAAAGAAAGTTTGATCCAGCTGCACAGCAGTATTTCAGGCAAAACTATTTGTGAACTCCAAAATCTAGACCGGAATAAAGCTGGCATCCCCTGGAATAAAGCTATAATCTCAGCACAATGTAAAGTCCTGTCTCTAACCTTGGAAGATCCTTAGAACTGTTGCTTCCTCTAAGAACTTTATCTTTTTTTCTTCTCTTCCCATCCAGCAGATGGGATGACTTCTGAATAGGTTTGTCTGGATTGTCGGCTTTTGATCAGTGCCTGTTGTTTCTTGTCTGGTGTCTAAAAAGAGAACGCACCTGAAAACAAACCCAGTCTATCACACCATGGTTTTTCCACACTGTTCCTGAAAGGTAGTGAAGAGGAAAGGAGTTGGGAAATCTGTTGTTAAACAGGTTAATCTGCTGCTAAAAGAGATAAGAAGATAGTTATGGGTATTAATGACATCAGTTGTGTGATGCTAGTACAATAGCAGTAGCTGCAGTCTTGTCCTCATTTGCAGCCTAAGATCTCAGAGCCTGTTGTAAAAGTAGACTGGCTCTTATGCTATAGAAAAGGAAAATGTAGCTGGTAAGGTAGAGGTGAAAATTATACTTAGCAAAGAGTGTTCCCACACATGCCCTTTCACTGTGTGTAGGGATTGATTTCAATTTAGAAGAAATTACAGATTCCAGTAAAAATTGATCCTCTGTAATTAAGGGTGGATTTCAAACAATGTTTCAGAAAAATACTTAATTATTCCTTATGATAATTGTGTTGAGAATCTTACAGCTAGTTAGCTGGAGTTATCAAGCTCACTCACTCTCTCACCACAGGCATTTTGGGAGTTCACAGAAGATGCATTGTTCCTGCTGATGCTCAAGTGGGTGGCATAAATGCCTCCATGCTCAAATATTTGCTTTGAACTTCAACACCCTTTCTGAGACTTAATTTAGCATACGGTTGCAGGAGTCAGTGTATATATTGAGATGCACAGAAATAGGACATGAAACATCTGGGCTGTAAGGCAGAATTTTAATCTGCAGTTTTTCACTGCCCATGTTTGCTTTAGTTTGGCACGTCGCATAGAGCCCATTTCTGGTGCCTTTTGGTAATTAATGTGTTTGTGCCAGGGGCAGCTTTCCAGCAAGTGGGAGCGTTACACGTGGGGCAGGGTGAAGTGGGAAAGATGCACATCTCCCTTGGGTAGTTTAGGAAGCCTGTACTAAGAAATGAAAATCCCAGTGATAGTAATCAAAGTACATTTTAAAATGTTTGGAGTTTATACATATCGACTTCCTTCATTCTGAGCCTTCTCTCCATGCTCGCTAGTCCCAGTCCTCTCAGCCTCTTCTCGTATGTCAGGTGCTCCAATCCCTTAATCATCTTTGCAGCCCTTCACTGGACTCACTCCACTGTGTTTCATTCTTTACAAGTGTGGCTAGAGCCCTCAGGAGCTGTGGATCAATTTTTACTCACATCATCCATCCTCTTTGTGCAGCTGTTTGTGATCAGCCTCTGAATTAAGCTTGTGCTCCCTTTTCCCATGGTCTTTATTCTCTGTGTAGCCTTGGAAAGGACATAGCAGCCCAGTTTCCAGGTATTTCTACGTACTGCCATGCCAACATGCTGGTTTTACTGTCCACATTTGGAAAGATGCCCATGATTATGACAGATATTTTACAGGTTCATATTCTGCCACATTGGGACAATATGGAGCTGAAGAGCCAAAAAACAGGAGGTTTTCTTGTGGCAGCTTTTTGAGTGCAGAAGCATAGGCTTCGGGCTATAGAATGGATGAAACAGTTTAATTATTTGTACTGATATCCTGAGAGCCAAAATCTTTTTAAGGGTCTTGGGGATGGTGCGTTTCTCCCTTCAAGAACAGGAAAACCCTGGTCATCTTCTGTAATGGCACTTCCACTTGTTTCTCTGGACAATTATGCAACTCTGTCTTGACACATGTTGCTTCATCCCACTGTAAATGATACTTAGTAGATCAGCCGTCATCTCTACGTGATGGGATGTATTTGCGGCTTACCATCTCTCGACTAGGATGCAGCTGGGGAGGAATTAAATTGGACTTTAATAGGCAAAGTCACACACTCGTGTTTTAAATTCCTTTAGCGGCATAACAGGGAGGCTGTGCTGCAGTCCACAATTGCTTCTCTGGTTCTTCATGCTTTCTGGTACTGTGGCTACTTTCAGGAGCCTCCTAAGTTCGCTGTATCTCTTTGTTTCTCTCCCTTGCCCAGATATCCTGGAAGTGCGGCAGAAACCAATTCTGATGACATAGCAGAGAGCGGGCACTGCCTTGGAGCCTTGTTGCCAAGTGCCTAACCACAGCGGTTTTCTGTGCTAACACTACCATCTAGTGTCAGGAACATAAACCTCCGCGGGAAAAAAGGAAGTCCAAGAATACCAGCCGATCAAAAGTGCCTCTTTCTTCCTTCCTCTGCTGTCATACACCGTATGCCCACTTGCAGTACATCGCTTGAGTGTTTCTGACTGGAAGAGGACTTCCAGCAAGATAAAACGAGAAGGGGCTGTGATTAAAATGAGTCAACGCTTTATGGACAGTTTGTTACTGTGTTTACTTTATAACTAAGAAACCAACAATATGTACAGAATGTGTTAAACTTTATATTCTTTGAGAGAAACAACCTGAGAATTTCATAATGATGTACTAATGAGCGTCGTTCCATAGACTCTCGTCCATACACTCTCCGTGTCGGTTTGGCTTAATGTGTGTGTGCGTGTGTGTGCGTGCGTGTGATGAGAGAATAATTTCCTAATGAGGGAGGAAAAGGAAAAAGATGCTACAAAGATACATCGCCATTTTGGTACGTGCCGTGGGTCAGGTCAGAGCTTAAAAGAGGCTGAAAATGTTCCCATTTGTTCGTGTGTCCGTGTTAGGACAGGTGAACTCTGCTGACAGATTTCTGTATCTACCAAAGAACAGCAACATTTTCATCCTCAAGAGCTGGCTAAGAAAATGAGCCAGTGAAAAGAAGGCTAAAATGTGCTGCTACAGTAAAGCCGAGGTTCATAGCCGGTACTAATGCTGCTTATCTCTCTCTGTTAGCTGAGTCAATACAAGTTTAAGTCTAGTGTGGAAAAATAGGAGGCCATAATCGGACTCCAAAACCTAAAAACCTTACCAATAACCAACATCCTCCTGCATGCACTGGACTTCAGGGTCGTCTTTGTGGTAGCGTTTATAGCCAAGGAAGGCATGAGAGCTGATTAATGGTCGGGTAGCTTGCCCGGATTCTTCATCTCCTGGTGATGTTTCGCTGTACTGTTACCTACCGAAGCACGGAGAGTTTTATTGAAAGACAAAAGATTGAAATGTACTTCTGCTCTGAAAAGTGACTAAAAATTGCGTAGCAGGAGGTCTGAAAATGGTGTGTCAGGAGCTCTCAGGAAAAAAAGCCTTATGTTTACAGGTAAAATGTAGCTTTCTCTAAATAGCTAAACTCTGCTGTCCTTGACATTTGAAAGCTAAATGATTGAATACTGAGACGACTGCAGTCTGTTTCACTGTTTTGATATGGGAGCCAGTCAATACTTCAATTTATTTACGACTGCATAACTGGCACAGCAACGGGTGGGGTGTCTCTTAGAGCCCGTGAGACTCCAGTATGCGCACAGAGGGAGAGTGGAGATGCCATTTTTGTCACTTTTCAGACTCTGAGCACCTAAACTTAATGCTGTTGCCGCAGTTACCGAATGGCATGTGCTCTGAGCCTGGACCTTTCTCTCCCTCATACCCAGCCTTTCCCAAAGTGCTTCGTTGTTATTCTCTCAATAGCATCTGATGAGTTACCCTCTCAAATAGGACTTTCTGCTTTTTTTCCTCAGGCCAGGTTCCATGGGAATAGCTCCACCTCAGCATAAAGGTAGACTAACTTTATCATTCAGCCCAACATGGTGAATCCAGCATGGTAAGGAGGTCTTTTTTTCTTTGAGGCTAGGCCTGGGAGCAGTCACCTTAGCGCAGAGCGATAGCATTTGTAACACGGGCAGCATGAGTGCCTGACAGGGACAGCTGACCAGTTTTTAGTTTGCTTCAAATGTATTGCAACACCATTAGAAAAACATTCACATTGTCATTACCAGCACAGCCACTTTTCATGTTGCAGCCTTTGAACTTTGCTCCGTGGGAGCATGCAGTTGTACGTGTGTGTACGTGAGGGTGTTCACATGGTCTAAGCTGAGCCATGTAACTTGGGTGCCTAGGCTTTCTTCCTGAGCCGGGGCAGGGAGGTGGAGTCCTAAGTCATCAGCTGAAGTGCCCTCTCGAGGAACTTGCTAGGCAACCTAGGTGCTAACCTGAGATCCCTGATGTCGGTCAGTACAGTGTGCCTAATGCCAGTCAGTACAAATATTCTCCCTATTCTCATGCCAAGAATTAAACCACTCTTCATCTAGAAGACCAGTCGTCCTCTGAAGCCTCTCAAGATACTCCTTATTCTGCACTTTCATAGTGCTGGGCTGGGCATATCAGTGCTCGGTTTTGCTTTAAGTATTCATTGGGGAGGTAAGGGAGAGAGGGTTAATATTTGTACTACTAGTGATAATTGATACCTTTGAGTCAAACAGCCGGAAGAATAACACACATGAAAAGGAAATGTATCCAGATGGGAACCCACGTGGTAGGTGCCTGAATACTTCTCAGTCGACAGTGATTTGCAATGCTTTTTTGGTATTGTGTATTACGTTTAGGTAGCTTAATTTCATGTGATCTGAAAGACTGAGCAAATCTTGCTGCATAAGATTTCAGAGCAAATGAAGAGTGATTCTAAACTAGTACATTAGTATAAAGGCAACGTTACAGAACATACAGTTCAGATCCCACATCTATTATGCAGGAGGTATTGTCTGCTTTGTTACATGCACGTGGGTGGATTTTGATGTCTAGTTTTTGAAGGGCTGCAGTGTCCTAAAAGAAGTCCATTTATTTCTTGTATCTTGCTAGTGGGTAGGCTATAGCTATGTCGAAGACTCACCTTTTTTAGTAGAAAAGGGCTACAGCTATGCCCAGATGGATATCCGTAGAAAACAGTGGTCAAAAAGTCTACTGAATGTCGATAGTGCTTTTCAGAAACAAGTAGTTGTGCCAGATTCTCAGTTATTCCTG